AGCATTAGCCGATTAGCTTCCCATGCTAATCAAGCTTGAATTTGCATGCTAACTTTTACTTTTATTCTGTTTGTCTAAAGATCCATAATTTAAGATTTTACATAAAGCTGTGAGGAACATTTTGTAGCTTCACTGATATTTATGAAGGTATTGTTCTCTAATCAGATGTATTTAATGTTTGTATATTCCTAAGCGCTAACAAGTGGATCAAAAATGGCAACTTAACAATATGCCATAATTTTCTGCTTTTCCGTTACTTTTTTCCGTTACTTTTTATATTGAAAGTGAGGTGACGATTGTTTTTGGTGCTACACTCCCACTGCTGCAGCTATTTATTTAAGTCCAGAGAAATGCTGATTTTAACGGACGAACTAAAGTGCGAGTGAGACGAATGTTTGTGCGATTTGTGGTCCGAAAAATGTTACAATAGACTGTGCTGTTATAGGTATTATGACCCCATTATGTGACCGAGACCTAAGACACAATTATGAAACCAATAGTAATACAACAAGGTTTCGCAAAATAATCCATTCCCCGAAAAATGCAATATTTAAATTAAAACAAAAGGGTTATTTTTTCTGTGAGATGTAGCCTGCTAGCCATAGGTTAGCTCAAAATAGCCCGTGAGCAACTGGAATTAGCCTGCAATCAACAGCTAGCAGGCTCACTGGTTAGCTCACGCACATGGAAAAAAAGTCTGTAATAGACCTGGATTTGAATTATTATTGTCCAATCAGGAAGCTCTGGGGGTGAGCGTGGGCGGGTCTAACAGTGTTTGTGTTCAAAATCATTCTGATATTATAATGCTAATGTAAAATTATTCGTTTTTCAAATCAACTCAACTCTCTTAACGTTTAGCAGATGAGAGAGATGTAAAAGCGACTGTAAAAAAGCAAACTCCTGAAGTTATGAACGCTGTATAAGCAACCGGTTTTAAAAGTCCCAAATATCTACTCTAAATTTGCGTAATATTACCAATGCAAAAAAACATTTCCAAACATGAGATATTCTAATAGTTGTTCATTTTATCTTTGTTTTCATTTTATCTTGAATCAAAGGAAAATGTCCATATGAGGGTTAACGGTCCTCATGGAAACCTTTACAGTTCTGCGTATTTGCTGCTAGTTTGTTGTAACTTTTCAAGATTTTGTGTTCATTTTTTTGGAGAAATATTTATTTTTATAACAAGCCGAATATACAAGATTACTATTTTAACAGGAAAATAGTGATCGCAATACAGTGACCACGAGGCCGCAAACAACAGCTAAACGAGATGTTGGGTGTCACTGGTATGATTGTGCAAATTTATATTTTTCTGGGGTAGTGTGAGCTTTTTATTGTCAAAAACATAAAACGTGCTTGAGTCTTTCTTTGGATATGTCACTAAAAATGATATTGATATGAATTCAATATATTAATGTCTTAAACCGATTTAGCTAGCAGGTTTTTAGCACGTCAAAAGTAAAATGATAACTTTTTAACTTGTAAGAAGCGGCTATACGTATTTGATCAAAGATTTGGAAATATATTATAAAATTGGGCAGTTCACAGCTGATCTGATTATTTATTATTATGAAGGTTTTGGCACATATTTGAAACCGAATTGTCTAATACAACTGAAATTCATTTTGACTGCAGTGTTTTTTTTCATGTGGCATATACAAAGAAACCTCTAAAAAATATTGGATTTGAATATCTGATAATTCTTTTTCCTTCAAACCGGAAAACGAATCCACTACGTCCATTAACAATTGGCAAAATAATATGAATTTTGAATCTTTCCTATGCCAAGGTTTGGATTACCTAAAAAAGAAATTAAAAAAATGTTAAAAAGTAAAACACATTTTGTATAGAAAAATATACCCTACGACAATTATTTTTGTTTCTTCTTTTTGTTGTTTTTTTTCCACAATTTCCTTCCTGGTAGGAGTTACACCTTTTGTGATTGTCTGGCAAAAGTCTTCATAACACGGTATAACTGTGGAATTATTGCTATATGCTGTTGTGATTTTTGAATATTCTCAGGCCAGTGTTACTAGGGATGAATTCGGACCAATCGGGAAGCAGTTTAGTAAAAAAGAGTGTGTTGGATGCTCGTCTGCGATTGGTCGGATGTGTCCAATAGTCACATGAGCGCTAACGTGGCCTGTTCTAGTTATTAGTATTTGCTTTATGTATTAGTTTAGCAGCAGTTGTGCACGATCGAGAAGCACTGCACGAAGTTAAAAACTCAAGAAAACTGTGCATCTATTCTGATTTTACCACAAATAAACGTTTGAATTTGCAAAAGTATGTCGACTTCTGTGCTTTTTCACATTATTATCATTACTATTGAATAGATGTATTTGTTTTATTGTTCCTATTTATGTATTTTATCATTATTATATATTTTTTAATTACCTTTTGTATGTCATAAATGTGTGTAAATCCTAGAAAGTTAAGATAATATTACAATTAATATAAATTTATTCATAAATAATATGACTAAATAATCATGTTATAACACATGACTAAAAATGAACTATAAACATCCTTCAGTCTGCTTCACATTTGTAGAAAGACTGTTCCAGTGTTTCAAACTCCCCATGTCCCGCTTTACCTCCAAATCTCCACTTTAGGTTCAAGTGTTATGGTGAAAAAAGGTCATTGTTTTGAAATGTATAGACTAAATTTAATTTAAAGCCTTACACACGTAAAGCCCAGCAGCATCTCCTGTCTATCGTATTGCATAGTTTTATTGTAATAACAAAAACAAGTGTACATCTATTTTTAACATTTTAAAGATGCAGTAAGCGATTTTGTTAGCTTAGCCGTAGCACCCACTCCCCCCTCCCCTCGCCTCTCCACCAAACCAAACATCCAGCATTTTCTTTTGTCACAACAGGGAGAGTGGGTGGCAAACATGAAATTGGCATTTTATGTTCAGCCATTTAAGGTTTTAGAAAATTATCCAATAACTCGGTTGGGCGCACTCGCGGGAAACAGGAAGAGGGTGAAGGGGGCAAAGGCATCCCATTGGTTCGTTGGGGATAAACCATGGATCTATAATAATAACTGGATAGGGTATTACTAGCTTAAAGCTGTCCCACCTACGGGCACAGGGGGCGCCTGTGGTACTGCAGACTAAATTCACGAGGGCTACCCAGAAAAAAGTCCCCTAGAACTCAATGTAAATTAAAACGGCACAACCTCAGCTGACAGAGAACCTACGGCTTTCATAAAGATCGGATTTTGTGGGGATTGAGCAGCTCTGATTAGTCAGAGCACGCCGAGCCCCTTTGTGCGCGTGCATGAAAGCCACACACGCACGTTTGGTGTGACGCATGACCCATCATGCGTTGCGCTAATCACTGCGCAGAACCGGGAGGGCCAGACGATGCCCAAATATAGGCGAGTTCTGCTAATCTCCCGGTCTCCGTGAAGTCCCATTCGCTACTGAGCACAAGCCATTCATTTGAATATGGCGCCATCTTGGATCACCGGGGCTTGGGATAAACGAATCCCTTTTTTTTTTTTTTTTCGTCCGATCCAAAATATTTGTTATTAATTTTTAGAGACTAAAGGCATCTGGTAAATTCCATTACTATTTGAAAACACATGATAACTTAACTACTTTTAGGGTTTAGAGACGTTTTCCCACAATATTTAAAAAAATGCGTCTGAAAAAAATCACTGCATCTTTAAAGGAGCAATATGTAAAAATCTGGCCAAAAGTGGTACTGCAGTCACAGTCAATATTTTGTAGTCCTCTCCCACTCTCCCTGACTCAGGTTGCCAGATTCACACCAAATCCAGCAGCAAACACAGGGAATTATTTTATCAGTTGTTTGTCCGTCTCCATTCACATTGCCATGACAGCCGTGCTAATGCTGAATGAATGTTTTGATTAATGTTTTTTTATTATTATTATTTGGACATTTGAGATAAAAAACAAAAACAAAATAAAAGAAATGTAATTATACATAGTTTATGCAAAATAAATAAGCAATTGATGTCCAAAATAGGAGTGGGAAGAATGGATGTTGGAACGTATTTCTTCAGCGTATCAACATCAGGGTTTGCTCAAGAGGATATCACCTTTCAATTTTATTTATTCCCTATTTTTTAGACAAACATGTAAAAGTCCCACATCAAAAAGAGACTCACATTATTTTAATTGGGGTACATGTGGTCTTAAATGATTATTTTTACAATTAAGCTATAATCTGCAAAAAAACGTCTTGACCTTCATCTTTTACCGTTTTTAGAGCAATCTGTCATAGAATGTAATAACATGCAATAAATACAAAAAGACATAGCCCGGGATCGAACCCGTGTTCCTGCATCGTAAGCGCACAGTGTAGACCACTAGACCACCGATTCACACGAAAAGAGATGCTGTAAAGAACGCACTCAAACTAGAAAATTCTGCATCACACATGAACTTTTATCAGCTGTCTCAATTGTTCAAAGGCATCCCGATATAAATCCTCGTTTTAGTCTTTGTTTTGTCATGAATGATTTGAGAGTCATAACAAGACCTTTTTTAGTTCTGCGCCACATGTTATTTTACCACTGAGATTAATGAGCCGCACGGAGTTCTGGCAACCCGATCACGGACTTACATGACACTTCCTGATTGGCGAAACGGCGGAGGGTAGGACATCAAAATCAAAACAATAACAACTTTTACGGGTCGTAAAACTAATTTTGATAATCAAATATCTCGGCTGCACTACTGTTATCAGTTAAAGATGAATTCGAAAAGAGTATGATTTAATAACTCCTTTTGAAATATTCGGGTCATTTAATGAGGACTTGACATGCAAATATTACATATTGCTCCTTTAATTGAGACAAAATGTACAGGTATGTTCAGTCATTCTTCATAAATTAATAAAATAGTCATATGGAAACATAATTCACTAATTTCTCTGGCAGCGACGGTTTGGCACTTTTGGTCCTCGACAGTAATGCTTAATTTACATGAGTAATACAGGTGTAGGTGCAGACACTGCCCCCTACAGGCCGGGCCTCAGTGCAGGGCGTACAGTCTCTGCTTTGGGGATGTGCAGTTTGTCTTCACTTGGATCAGGCCAGAAGTCCGGGTTTTCCTCGTACCACTTCACTGAAATGAATAATAATATAATAGAATTCTTCCATTTTAACACAAAACTGATGTTAACTGAAAATACGCTTTTTTTCTAACACAATTCTGTTGCTAAAGAACAATCATAGAGTAACTTTTAACCATGAACGGTCTACAGGACCTCTTATTCTGTTCTGGAAAGGTTTGTCAAACTCGCTAAAAAAGGCTTTAAAATGTAATATTCTTCATGATCCTGTTTTTTTTACATTGGTATTGTATTTGTAAATCTCTATATGAGCCCTAACAACTGACCAATTGGGTGCCTTCTTTCCTTTAGTATGATTCTGATTGACCATCCTCACTCCTGATTGATTGCTTGGCCGTTGCTATGCACAAATTTGGCTTCAGACCCGCCAGTTTGAGTTATGGTGAAAGTAGCCGATGTGAACTAAGGTAAACACTATGGTTGACGTCAGCAGTCTATGGTTAGAACTTCAGACAAATCGCTAAAGTATTTATAATGATAAATGTTATTTTCACCTGTTTTATTGATGCCCTCCGTCCAGCCCACAGTAGCTCTCCAACCGAGTCTCTGCAGCCGCTCCGAGTGGATGGGGTACCGCAGGTCCACTTTTGGTCTACAACCAAGAGACACACAAAGAGGGTTTAATGGAGGACTCTACAGAAGCATGGGATATATTTAGATTACAAGTGGCTTTTTGTCACAGGGTCCAAAATATACAAGAAGTCGGTTAGTTTGATTTCATTTGGAATTGTATTTCATTCCAGAAACGGTTACAGTTTTAAATCTATGTTTTCTTAAAGTGGCTGGCAAAGGCTCTACATCTAATACAACTAATCAACAAGTGGAAAAAGGAAACCAAAATGTAACACAAATGCAAAACACTACTTAAAGGCTCAAAACTAACATCAGTGTCAAATATGGTGGTGGCAGCATCTTGTATGACTGCTTTTCTTCAGCAGGGACAGGGAAGATAATGGTATAGCAGAACACATCCAACATTCTAACAATAGCATTTTTCAAGCCACTGTCAGTCCTTTTCAAGGTGTCGTCAGAAATGATGACCTTGTTTTATCGTTCTTTTATTGAATCTGTGTTTACATTTTGTATCACAGCATGGTTTGGAAGCCTGTCCCTAGCAAACAAAAACAGACTTGGCAGTCTGGTTAAAGTCGCCAGCGAAGTGTCAGGGAAAACACAAGCTCAGCCCAGAGACCTGTAGAGTAAGCAGGTGCTGAGGAAGGCCAATTCTATAATTGGTTCTTAGGACCAAACCCCTGAGGGAGCAGTTTGAACTTTTACCCTCAGGACAACGCTATAGGGCTCTTGGGTGTAGTAACCACATTTATTCCAACAGCTGTGAAGCACCTTAACAGCACATAGCACTTCTACAAACCTTTGCACTTTACAGCATATTTGCACTGAAAATTAGCTTTGTGACAATCTTTCTTGTTCTTGTTTGTGATGTTGTGATCTTACTGTATATGCCTGTTTTTAGATGATTGTTGCTGCAAAACCAATTTCCCCCAGTGGGACAATAAAGACACTTGAACTTGAAATATTTAATTACATGTTATATTTTGTGAATGAACTTTCGCACCTGTCTGGCACAAACTCGATCCAGTCTGTTAGTTCAGCGTCCGGCACCTTTTTTATCTGAAGAAACATGCACAAAAAAGACAAAAACTAACTAAAAATGCTCCTTTTTCAGAATTAAATCAACGCTTATATTACCATGGAGATGAGCTCTTTGGCCAGTTGCACTATGGGAATCTCACATCCAGACCCCATGTTATAGACTTCTCCCACAATGCCTTTCTCCAGGACCACCATGAAGCCACTGATAGCGTCTTCCACAAATAGAAAGTGACGAGATTTGGGTAGAGTCCCCTGGATCGTGCTGAAGGAAAATCACAAAAAAGTACATTTAAATTTTTGATGCAAACAGCCATAAATACCGGTACATCATTCTTAAAGTGAATAACACATAAGTGCACATTTTTAGATTTGTTATACAGTCTTATAGTCTAAAGAACAATCAATTAAAATGGGGTTTTGAGCGATTATGGCTTTTTCTCAATGCACTTACCATCTCTGATTTCTTTGCAAGAGGCTGATAAATCTAGGAATGACCTGAAACATGAAAAATCCACTATGAGAAAAGATTTGAACACTTTGCGATGTGAATTTGACTCGGGGTAATGTTGCCTTTTCTGTGTACTGCCGTGGTCCATAGATATTGTTGCTTCTGGTAATGATCACAGGAAACTATAAAGAAAATAAACAATATTAAAATGGTGGATTCGATGTCAGGAATGTGTTTACAGACCTTGTATTTTTCCCAGTAGATTCGGACCAGGAACTCGGCTGCTGCTTTTGTGGCTGAATAGGGATTGGAAGGTCTCAAAGGACTGCTCTCATCAAAGATCTGAACAGGATACAATGACATGCACGTCTGTCACTCGGACTCGTTTGATTTAAAGCTGAGGTACCCGACTTTCAAACTATGTAATAATATCCATGTAACTCTGAAGCTAAGCAGGTCAGGGCCTGGTTAGCAAGGTGGTTGGGGGACCTCTGGGAATATTAGGTGTTGACCAGAGAAAGACTAGAAAGAGCCCAGGGAGAGGGAGAGACCAGAGAGAAACTGGAATATGGCCTGAGAGAGACCAGAGAAAGACAAGAGAGTGACACTAAATAAATTACAAAAAGAAAATGTGACAGAGAGAAATTATGAAAGAGACCAGAGAAAGAGAAATTAGAGAGTGTCCATGGTTGATATGTGCTGACCAAAAATATGTGGACGTTTGTAAAAGTTTTTGGCCCGGGAATTAAAAGTCTGACAGTTACCTTATAGTTACCAGGAAGGATTTTTCAGCTACCCTCCATGACACAATGTGAAACTAAAGGCTCTTTGGATCGCATTTACTGTCACAGAGGAGTAAAGGCGTCACCTGGTCGATCCCTGGTCCATAGACTTCATCGGTGCTGACATAAACAAACTTTTCCACTCGGTGCGGGGCTTGTTGAGCAGCTTTCAGTAAAACTCTGGTCCCTTCGATGTTGACGAGTTTGAAATCAGACGGACTTTTGAACGAGGACTCTGAGAGAAAAAAATATTGCACTCAGTAATAAAGACTGCATACAGAATGTTCTATGGAACTCACCAACATGGGTTTTAGCTGCCAGGTGGAAGACGACATCGATGGTGTGAGTGTGGAAGGTGTGATGGACCAGGCGATGGCTGCACACGTCTCCCTGGTTCAAACAATAACCTTTATTCATTCATTATTACAGTTTTGTTCAAGGATTGTTACTGCTTTTTATTTTTTATTATTCACAACAGCAGCTATCTCAGAGTACTTCACACAACTGTTGAATTCGCCAACACCAAGCAGAGAACCAAACAGTTCAAACACAAGAAATAGAACAGAAAACACATTGGTCCATAAGGGGCAGATGACGCCATAAGTGTTTTTGGATGTAGCTGCTAAGCAATACTAACCAGGTTTCAGGACTAAATTCACTGAAACAGTAAGTAAGTACCCTTACTTGTGGGTAAGAATTTGTGACTCAGGTACAGAGTCACAAAGCGCTTTACAATTGAACCAGGACTAAAACCTGGCATCAGGACTGAACCAGGTCTCAAACCATTATTTTGTGTGTTTGTCTCGTCCAACTTTTTCAAACAGTTAATTTAATATTATTCTGTATCTTGTTTTAGTACCTCTATTGTCCATCTGCAGTAAAACTACATTTGAATAACTGTAAATAATAAATAATTGTTATTGTTGTATAGCTTTTAATAATACTTTTGTTTTTGTTTTTTTAACTATAAGGGAACTATATTTCCATTAACTATAATGGAAACTATAATGGAACCAAACTATAATGGAACTAAATTCCTGTTTAGTTGATAATGTTGTTAGTAAAATTTGAAAGCGTCATTTTACTTTGATAAATGTGTAGTTGGCTCTGTCCTCCACACTCTCCAGGCTCCTGCGGCTGCAGCAGTAGTCGAGCTACGACACACATTACAAAAGAACCAGTCATTCACATACAAAAAAAAACTATTTACCAGGAATCGCTAGTTTTAAGACTTACAATATCCAAGTTTATAATCCTCCAATCTGGATGTGTGTTGACAAGGTGGGTGACAAGATGGGAACCTCTAAAAGTACAAAGCCAAAGAACATTGTTAGTTAATTGTTCATAGAATATTAAAAGGCAAGTATGACTTAATGACCACAGCTACTTATACACATGCTGAGAGTTATTACAGAAAGTTTCCTATATTAATCTGTAGTAAACATATCTATTCATATCCGTAGCTATTCACGATTCATTCAATACTTACATGAATCCTGAGCCTCCAGTCACCAAAACAGTCTTGTTATAGCTCATCGTCAACGCATTACAAACTAAAGTCGGCGTGTTCACTTAAAGACAAACGCATAGCAACATTAAACGGTAGTTCCGTAACAGAAGTCCAGTTTTTGCTTTTACATCCCAGAGAATAGCTGTTTAATGAGTCTATCGCTTATTTTGCCGTGTCAATAACGACAGTAGGGGTCTATTTCCGGCAATGTTGACACGTTGAAGAGGGGGGTGGGTCTTAGTCTTCATCTCATTGGTGGATTTTACTGTCACTCAAACTGTCAATCGTGCCGACTTGGCAACGGAGTTACGTAAAGCCCTCGTAGACAATATATACAAGTTCCGGTTTAGGCTACAAAGATAAAAGCTTTTCATACTTTTGTCAAATGAAGATGTATTCTATGAAGTCATAACTTTATTTGTTTATTTATGAGACGATTCTATCTGCTTATCATTGCTTTTTGTCTTGTATTTAACGTTGAATTCACCAAATATATACGATACATGCTTTTAGGAATTCTACTTCCGGTACCATCAAGCTAACACTTTAAGCTTCACACTTTTGCTTTACTTCTGGCTTCGTGGCTCACTGGCTCGATTATTAAAAATTGCGGATAATCCTTGAACGCATTTGGGGTTAAAATGTGGCGTTTATTAGCCCTGTTTCTGGCCTTTTCACTGAGTATTACAGAGACTTGTGCGAAGACTGTGACGGGAGCTTTCAAGAGCGAAGTGGCCAGGGAGAGGGACGGCCAGTTCATCACTACGTTCAGGTTTGGAGGTAAAGGCGTTTGAATGTGGGATGTGCAAACGTGTCGCGTACTCTCACTGCTTGCATCTGTTTTAGCATCGCATCCATTATTAGCAATGCTTTAAAGCAATTAGTTTGGCTAATTATTATACATAATGTCTCAATCTCTGCATGTGGCTCTATATGTTAGCCCTGTCTCCACCAGCCCTACTCTGCTCTACTCTATTCTGCTCTACTCTATTCTTCTCTACTCTATTCTTCTCTACTCTATTCTGCTCTACTCTACTCTATTCCGCTCTATTCTGCTCTACTCTGCTCTACTCTACTCTACTCTACTCTACTCTACTCTACTCTACTCTACTCTACTCTACACTACTCTACTCTACTCTACTCTACTCTGCTCTGCTCTGCTCTACTCTGCTCTGCTCTACTCTACTCTACTCTACTCTACTCTACTCTACTCTACTCTACTCTACTCTACTCTACTAGGATCTACTTTCCATTACGCTTTAGTATCTGGTACCGTATCCTAGCAACCTACCCACAACAAACCAATATCCAAGTAAATGCCTTGCAGCACTCCCAGGACCAAGAAGGACTGAAGAAGGACCTGGTACTGGTCAAGGAGGACCATTAGAAACACTCCCAATTGGGGTGGGGTGGGGTAGGGTACGGTAGGGTCAAATAGGACTTGTGGAAATGGGGATAAAGTAAATGTAATCAACAAATCAAAGCCAATTATGATCAATGAAAAACATGTTTTTTGTTTTGTTTTTTTAGCCTTCATTAGTCCTTTTTACTTCAACAAAAGCATGCATTCTAGCGTTAAAGAAAGACATAACACTACTGGGAAACACTATTATAAATGCAAGTAGTAGTAGTAGTAGGATTATGTCAAAATGTAAACATTGTATATGTTTATACAGTGTATATATGTGTATAGAGACACACATTTGGAACTGTTTTCAATCTACAAACACAATAATACTTAAGCTCATGGAATTGTCAACATGTGGCTGCCTGTACTTCCTCTTTCAACTTAAATATATTACATTTTAAATCCATCATAAGGAAGTTACACATTAACACAGGAGACAGGAGTTTTAAAAGCACACTCTTAAGCAGTGTGGAGCGGGGATGGACTACGATGGGAGACAGCTGAGAATGCTGTTGTTTTGTCCTTAAGCAACACACTTCCCTAACTTTGTCTAGTGTGATCGACTGTGATTTGTACTGGCTGCTTCTTTCAGTCTGCCGTAGTGCATCTGTGGCAGTGGAGGAATAATACACTAATATTATTGTTTTAAAACCCATAATGATAACGTTACTACCACATGTGATGATGGTAGGACACTCACAGCTGCCCTGCGACCTGTGAGAATGCTTTACTGTGTAGCCATCACAGACGGGTTGAGTTCATAAATCAAACATTCATAAATTCTTCAGAAGTAACATTTTGCAATTCAATTCAATTTACTTTAATTCTATACAGCCCTAAATCACAACCGTAGTTATCTCAGAGGGCTTTACAATTCCATTGATTCGCCAATACAGATCAGAGTATCAAACACAGGAAATGCAATGATAAAAAACACATAGAGCCATTGGTCCGCAAGGGGTAGATGACCAAGCTCCATAAAGGTTGAGTAAGTCGGGTTAACTAACAAGTGTAGCTGACGTAGCTGTATCCGTTAGCGTTAGCCAAAAAGAACACTCTTTGCTCCGGTGTTGCTACAGACTACATTTCTCTGCTGAGACTTTGAAGACATCTTTTCTTTTGTGTAATGTTGATCATGTTAATGTTGTCTAAAAGGTCTAGTAGGAACATTGCAAACTACCCTTGGTATAAATGACTGTGTACACTTTATTCACATGAATAAATAAAATACAAATCTTACACATGTTTGAACAGAACTTGATGCTTGTCTCTTGTCTAGGAGAGAGTGGGCTGCTGGTTTGCCGCTTGACGAACTCCGCTTTAGCCATGGAGCAGGAGGCCAGACTTTTGCTGTTCCCAGAGATGCCGCCGGACATGGACCAACTCAGCTGCTCTCAAAAACTGGCACGCGCCCAGTTTACAAGTAAGACTGGTGCAGAGAGTTTAGACTCTGGTGTTCAATGTCAAATATTATACGCAATTTCTGTTCATTTTGGCTCCAACAATGAATTTTTATAACATTTAGAATCAAACGATATCTTAAAGCTGGGGTCCAAATAGAAAGAGTCAAACATTCCGTCATGATCTTATTAGATTTTTTTTTGTGTGACATAGAGCCCTGTTAGTCACTATTTGACACTTTGGGCTGAGAGTGGATTGACTGAGGGAGAATGATCCTCTCTTTTTTGATGTTTCTCTCTGAAAACGCTGATCTAAAGAGGCCAGAAATGCATGAAAACTAGTGATAGAAGTGAACTGCTCTATCATAGAAGCTCATTTTTGTGGCTTGAAAGTTACCCCTGCGCTAAGTATGTCAAAGTGAAGGCCCAGGTAGATTTAAGTTGGAATTAAAAAGACAGAAGGATCAAATAAAAGTTTTTAGTTTTATTTGATCCTTTTTTTGGTTTGATCCTTTTTCCTTGCTTTAGAATAGATTCTTAATAATTAATTGATTACCAAAGCATGCATTCGTACTTTAGCTACAAGAGCAGAGCAACAACGCAAAATGAAAAGGTATTGTCTATGCGCCGAGAACATGAGACGAGGACAGCAACAATGTGGATATGAATTATTCAACAAGGTTAAGAAGGCTGCAGCAGATCCCAACAGGAGAGGACCACCACTGTCTGTGTGGAAATGCTGAGATTTGTGTGAGTTGTTTAATTATGATAGCGTCATGGAGAGAAATGTTTATACACTGGTCAAAGATGGCAGGACTTAAGAAAAGTTAAAGTTGGTGAACCTACCTTTTCTCTTTTATAAATGTCACAGTATGAGTAAAGGGTTGTGAACAAATCCGACCACAACATGCTGCCTTCATCTCGTTAGAAAACATCTTATCTTCTGTGTAACAAAGAGGCCTGTCACTATTTGACTCTTTGGGCTCAGAGCTGATTGGCTGAGTGAGGGTGGTCCGCTCTTTTTCACTTTTCTGTCTGAAAAAGCTGATCTAAAGATGTGACAGAGGTTATTTCTAGTGATAAAAGCAAACTGTTTTGAGAGATACATACTGGTCAATGCCAGTATGGAGAGAGCAAGATGGCGCCGGGTCAGGGCGCCTCAGTAAGAGCTCTAGTGTGCACTGTCTGTTCTATGTTGTTTATTGTCGTCTGTGATACACTTGCCACCGTGAAGTACGACCGAGAGACACTTCTCTACATTCGGGACCGAGCTTGCGGAGTATCGCAGGTCTTACCCGAACTGAGGTGCTTGGACTTCATTGAGTGCCCCACTCGTGAGGCCCGTCAAACATGGCAGGCGGGCCGCGGCAATGTCCGCGAACAGAGCGGGGGGACTGGGCGTCTCCATCGTGCTCTCCGCGGTGTGGAGCTGGGTACCGGGAGCCGACGTAGGAGGCGCAGACACCGGGGAAAACGAGGTGGTCTGCTCGTGAGATGTCGCTCCTGCAGGACCGCTCTGCCCTCCATCTACCTGGCGAATGTACAGTCTCTGCCCAATAAGACGGACGAGCTCCTGTGTCGTATCCAGTGCCAGCGAGAGGCCCGAGACTGCGCTGTGTTCTGTCTCAGCGAGACGTGGCTCCACACGAACGTCCCGGACTCTGCTGTTCAGCCCCCGGGATTCACCGTTCACCGCGCGGACAGAGTGAAGGAGACCACGGGGAAATCCAGAGGTGGAGGTGTGTGCTTTTTAATTAATCAGCGCTGGTGCACGGACACTCGCATCGTGAACCATACATGTACTGCCAATCTGGAATGCCTGGTCTTGAGCTGTCGCCCTTTTTATCTTCCACGGGAGTTTTCTGTGATATTTTTATGCGCTGTTTACATCCACCCACGAGCGGACTATACTGTAGCACTACAGGATCTGAGCGAGATCCTTCATAAATACGAGACTGCTCATCCTAATGCAGTGATCATTGTCGCTGGGGATTTTAACAAATTTAAAGACTGTACTCCCAAATTTCTACCAACATGTGACTCGAGCTACAAGAGGAGCACAGATCCTGGATCACTGCTACAGTAACGTGAAGGGAGCTTACAGGTCCAGTCTCAGACCTCCATTTGGAAAGTCCGACCACTCCTCTGTTCTCCTTCTTCCCTCATACACTCAGAGGAGCAGGGAACATAAACCAACCTCACGCACTGTGCAGTGTTGGTCTGAGGAGGCTAGCATGAAGCTACAAGGGTGTTTTGATGCCACTGACTGGTCTGTGTTTCAGTCAGAGGATGTTAATGAATTCTGTGACGCTGTGACTGGATACATACGCTTCTGTATTGACTGCTGTGTCCCACAGAAGGTCATTAAAGTACATCTCAGTCAAAACCCTTGGATGAACGCGGAAGTGAAACAAAAACTTCATTAGCGTGTTCTGGCGTTTCAATCTAACGATACAGTTGCCTATAAGCTATCCTGTTACGCATTGAAACGTTCTATTAAATCTGCAAAGCGCAGTTACGGGGACAGGTTAAAGGGTTATTTCAAGGAAGATGACCCTCGGCGCATGTGGAGCGGTATTAAAGCCATCACGTCCTGGAAACCTAGTGCTGGGAAAATCGGATCTGTTGGCCCAGCTCTGCCTAATGAGCTGAACTCGTTCTACTGCCGCTTCGAATCTGCTGATGCCTGTTCTACTGTCTTTCCTGATTGTCTCAATCAAGGTGCGTTCACCGTGACTCAGGAGGTAGTCCAGCGGGTCTTGTCCAGCACCATTGTCCGGAAAGCCCCTGGCCCGGACGGCATCCCACCCCGTGTCCTGAAACTGTGCTCTGAGCAACTTGCCCCTGTTTTAACAGACATTTTTAACCTGTCGCTAAGGAACTGTACTGTGCCGAACTGCTTTAAAGAGTCGACCATCATTCCAGTTCCTAAGAAAACTCCTGTGACATGCCTTAATGACTATCGTCCTGTGGCCCTCACTTCTGTCCTAATGAAGACTTTTGAGCGGCTTGTGCTGGACTTCATTAAGAGCCAGATCCCTGTGAGTGTTGACCCGCTCCAGTTTGCTTACAGACAGAACAGGAGTGTGGAGGATGCCATCTCCTTTGCTCTGAACTCTGTCTACAGTCACTTGGACAATAGTAAATCTGTTGCAAGAATGCTGTTCATTGATTATAGCTCTGCTTTTAATTGTCTTGTCCCAGGTAAACTGATTGAAAAACTCTCGAAATTGTCTCTCGGTTTAAGTGTTGCCATGTGTAAATGGATCTATAGCTTTTTAACTGACAGATCTCAGAGAGTGAAAATCAATGACTGTTTTTCAGATGTTGTTTCTGTGAGCACTGGATCTCCTCAGGGATGTATTTTGAGTCCTTTACTTTTTACATTGTACACTCATGATTGTGTGTCTTCCTCAGACTCTAACCTGATCCTTAAATATGCTGATGACACCACCATCATCGGTCTCATCAGTAATAACGATGAATCGTCTTATAGAGCCGAGATCCAAAACGTGGTTCAGTGGAGTAAGGCTAACAACCTGCAGCTGAACGCATCCAAAACATGTGAACTGGTCTTTGATTTTAGTCACAATAGTTCTCATTTGCCTGTCGCAATCGATAACTCCCAAGTGCAGATTGTAGAGGAGTGTACGTTTCTGGGTCTAACTCTGTCTAATGACCTGAAATGGGTTAAAAACACTGACCGGGTCGTTAAGAAAGCTCGTCAGCGTCTCTACTTCCTGCGGAAACGTAGAGAATTTACCACTAACTCTAAGATTCTGCTGAACTTTTATCGCTGCACCATTGAGAGTTTACTTGTTGGTTCTGTGTCTGTGTGGTTTGGAAACATCACAGATAAAGAAAAGAGAGCTTTAAACAAGGTGCTCCGCTCTGCTAAGAGGACTGTAGGCTGTGAACTTCCTGTCCTGGAGGCTCTTTATCAATCCAGACTTTTTAACAGTGCCCTGAGAATTATCAATGATCTTAAGCAGGACTTGCCTCTGCTCTGCTTGTGCTCATATTCATTATCTTATCAATGGAGCAATACCGGAAATCCCATTGTTCTTAGGTCATTGTCGACTGGTGTTTTGGGAATGTCCAACTCCGTCTGGGCTTGTGCAGGATGTTAAATCATTAATGGACTGCGTGAGCCTCTCTGAGCATGTGTCAATATCCAAATGACTCATAACCCAGGACTAAACCACATCTAACCCAGACACAAACTGGGATTAAACTGGGCTTTCCTCTGTCAATGTCAAATGAATCCAACTCATATCAGAGTTTTGCCTTGAGTCGTGTCCTGTGGCTGCAAAGTGCTACTAAAGCCCAGATATTGTCCCTGTCCTTGAGGGGAGGCTGAAAGTGTCCCTGTCCTTTATGTGCGCTGATAAGAGGCTAGACTATGTTCAGAGTCAAAACTAAGGACTAGAATATAATACTGTATAAATTTAACTAATGCAATCAGTAAGAAGCAGTTATAACCGTAAGCTAATATGCCTTCTAAAAATATGAAGACTGTGCTGTGGTCTGATTTTGGTCACAGTATTTTACTTTGGCTATGTTCTGTTTGGACAAACAAAATGTATTACTTATTTAGAAAAGATATGTACCCGAGCTTTAACTATAGGTGAGATGTATGTCTGAGCCAAAGACCAAACCCAGGACTAGAACAGTTTGTCATTATCAGGTACACAACAGTGAAATATAGTTTGGCATTTCCATGATCAGACAGACATTATATTAAATTATGATCTTCGGGGAAAAAACAGGATTTGTAGTAAATGAATAAGTTGTTAGTAATTTAATAAGTTTACACTTGCGAAGTATGATGACATATGACTTATGTGAGCAAAAAAGATCAGGTCCAAACGAGCAAATTACAATAAAAAAGGTGACGCTCATTCCAAAACGTGCACAGAAAATGCCAGCCTAAAATATAATGAAAGGGGATGAGTGAGAGCTGATTGGCTGAGTCAGGGTGGTCTTCCCGTTTTTCAGTTTTCTGTCTGAAAATCAATCAATCAAATTTTATTTATAAAGCGCTTTTCATACAAAAGATGCAACACAAAGTGCTTTACAGTTTGGTTAAAAACAATCCCGCCGGCCCATGGCCCCCACCCAACAGACCCACCCCAAACCACACACACAAACACACGCCTTCTCACACACACACTCACACACGCTCTCATGCACACTCACACACACCAAATAAAACAGTAAAACCATGAAGAGAGAGACTTGACAGGGTTCAGATGCAACCAGCTGAAAAAGTGTCATCCAAGGAGCCGTCTGCACCAGGAGCAGAGAGCCGCCTGTAGCCACAGGGGACGACACAGGACCCAGAGGGGACACGAAGCCTAGTCTCTAGGCCCCGCCAGGTTCAAGAGTCCGACCCCCACAGCCACACCGACCACTGCTCCCAGTGCAGAGGGCTCCTCCAGAGGAAACACTGGGGATACTAAAAACAATACAATAAAAAAGTAGAACACGTGTTTAAATGTGAGACTAAAAGGAACTATCACACAATACATGAATAATAGCAATAACAATAATAAATAATAAAGCTGAAAAAAATGTGTCCAAAAGATAAATAGAATATGTAAAATGGAATAATACTAATTAAAAGCTAATCTAAAAAGGTGTGTCTTGAGCCTGCTTTTAAAAATGTGAATGTTCTCTGAAAAGAGGATATGAAGCTGTGACAGAGGCTAAAAACGCATGTGTGAAAACTTTTGATGGAACCAAACTGTTTTGAGAGCCAAGAACTAGTTTCTTGGAATACAGTACCCCAGCTTTAATGTGATTCCAATCTGCACTAGGAATAACCTAAACTAACCTATGTCTCAACTTTGCATCAGAAATTGTTCAAATATTGCATATACTCTCAACACAATATATATATACCATAGCCTAAAGCCTTAAGTAGACTGCAAAAGATGATACATTCTGACTGCAACAGTTTTTAATAAGACTATATGGCTTTAGTCTTGTTTTAACAGTCTGAATTTACTCCGACTCATTTTTTGCAGTGTAGTGACAATTTCTTACCAGTGAAGTGTAATATAATATAGGTACCCCAGCCTTACTTGCACATGTATAGAATCCTGGGGCATGGGAGAGCTCCTACTTGTCCCCTTCTTCAAACATTACTCTTGAATCCCACTGACCTTACTGCCCTGTCCTTTTGTCGCCACGTAAAGTTACTCTGGCAACACTATCTCCCATCTCCTCAAATCCCTAATGAAAACTCCATTGTGAGACTGTGAGCTTCTTATTGACTTACCCTCAGTGCGCGAAAGGCAAATGCTGCGGTCTTTTGTCCGCTCTGAGTCTCCATACAGGGAGGCGGCAGGCTCCGTTGCCAATGGAAACCAAAGTATGTTAGATTTAGGAGCGTTCGGAGACATGTCATTTTGTGCCGAGGAGAGACACGGTTGGGAAATGCACACACTGCTGCGTTTTGTGTAGAATCAAGAGTATAAAATGTACATTATTCAAGCTACCGAGGACATGTTGAGGTCAGTATGACACTGTTAAAAGCCAATTTGTCGCTGCAACTAGACACAAACTACTAATTACACTAGATATACAGCTACATAAACTGTATATTGATTGTTTTCTCTCTGCTCTAAGCATTACATATTTTGTGTGCTCCTTGAGGGCTCTAGTGTCCTGTATGTGCACTGTGCAACATCAAATAAAGGTTATCTTAGCTTTGATAGTACGAGATAAGATGTCAGTCTACACACATACTTTAGTTTTTCTTTTTATCACATGCAAAACAATACAATACATAGCATTCATTTCACACTCTACATATCTCACCCTGTACACGTGTGTTAGATGTGTTTTAATGTATTGTAATGTATATACAGCTTTGTACAGTGAAGTCTGATCTAAAACAATGGGGAATGTAAAGTAGCTATTGGTTTTAAGATAAAGGGCTGAGAAATTCTGGTTTCAATGAGAATGGACAAAGCTCATTATGAGCTTCCAAAAAAGAGGGATTTCAAATGTAATGTTATGAACTTTGGACAGTGGACAGAAACTGTCCAGTTGAAAGACTTTATTATGAAAGTGATAAAACCATACAAAGTAATCAAATCTATCATTGTCCCTTGCTCTCACAGTTCAGTTCTATCACTAGTTTGCACATTAATCTCTGAAAAAGCTGATCTAAAGCAGTGACAGGTGCCAGACACTCTCAGCCCAAAGAGTCAAATAGTGACTCACTGGGATCTTGTACATACTTATATCTGGGAAGTATACAACGTTTTCTAATAAGATGAAGACGACATGTTGTTGTTTGACCAGACTTCTGTGTCAAACAACTAAAGTTAGGTAACAGTTGTGTAAAATCCTCAGAGATTACTGTTTATTTTATTTGTATTTATTTGTTTAGAAATGTATTGTTCAGACCAGACATGGCTATAAGCTAGTTGTGATTTAGGGCTAAACAAGAATAGAATAGAATTGAAATGAAAGGTTTCCCAGTTCTAAATTATATTTCAAATTAAATCACTGATTTTCACCAATTCAGCCTTTTGCGTCTGTTTAATTCCTTCTTCCTCCCTCCTCAGGTCAAACCCTCTCCATCACCGCCTCCTCTATCTCCCCCCTGGCTCTCACCCCGGGGGAGGCCCTGTCCCTGCTCTGCTCCGTGGCCGTGGATAACCTCCCTCTGATCGGCCTGGAGATCACCTGGCTCTCCAACGGACGCGACCTCATCACCATGGAGAGGAACGGCGTGGTGGCGGCCAACGGCACCAACTATAGGGCGGATGCCAGCCTGGAGAGAGTGGCCCCGGGGCAGGTGCGGCTCAGCATGGAACAGTTCTTGTGTATGGCGTCACCATCAGGGATTATCTGTGCTCATTTGACACTTAAACATGATCTTGAGAGTAGTTACTTTGGTATTTCATAGAGAGTTAACGGTGCATTGGCAGACTCAAAGGTTCATGGATTTGGCTCCAGGTCAGAGAGCATGCTCAAAGTAGACTCTAAGGGGCAGTTTACATGGAGACAATGTGGCAGTAAAACACTATAGTTGGATGTCGGTTGCTACCAACCGTTCATACGAAGACTGTGTTCCAGGGGGGTGTAAACGTAAGAGTTAAGATCCAGCCTGCAAAGGCCCTGTTTATACTGAGACGCTGCGCAGACGTTTCCAGGCTATTAACAGAAACGACCTGGCTCCTAATGCAAATTTCTCAGCGTTCACATGAGGTTGAAAAACGATGTAGTTCTAGCACCCGGCCAGTAGTGGGCAGAGAAACTTTACAACAAGGCTGCGCAAGGGGCTGGGGGTCGCGTGGGCTGTAAAGTTCCTCTGCCCACTACTGGCCTAGCATGGAAACGTCTGCGCAGCGTCTCAGTATAAAATCAGCCTAACAAACTGCATATTGTTGTAGTTTATCACCTCTGTGTATGGAGTAAATGAATGATGATGAGAAGCGTCTTTGTTTTATATAGCGCTCTTTTGGACACTCAGATTTATTATTATTTATACGCCAACAACATCATACAACCACTAGTATAACAGGACCTTTTATTTAAAGAAGCTTGTATGCACTGGGGCAATTGGTTCTCTTTCTGTTCCCTTTCTCTGGTCTCGGGTGTCTCTCGGGTCTCTATCTGATCTCTGGTCTGTACGTCCTGCAGCTCTCAGTCCTGCTCCAGCCTGTCATTTGTAATGGCTCTTTGAATAATGGATTGTTTTTTATTTTATTTATCGAACAAAAAAGCCATTTAGGTGCGTTCATGTCCATGAATGTCACCATATGCCCCGTTGCAATATTTTCTATTCATGTTTAATTTCTGGTTGCATACAACAAACAGAGACAGTGTAAAGAAATGCAAACGTTTAACAAAAATCTCAATTGTTGCTTGTTCTTTGCTTCAGAGCACTTACTTCACTTCCACTGTTCTGTACATAGTCATGCAACAATGACATTTCCCTTTGGGCCAAAGAAAGTATTTATCATCTCCAGATTATTAAAACAGACATATCCAAAACAGTTGCCAACTTGGACTCGGTTGAAAAACTCTAATTTTTCTGTCCCTTTACCTCTTTGTATAGACTTATGAACATAAAGACGTAGATTAGAATTTACTAGAACGCAGTCATCTAGTGAGAGAGGCTGGATATTACACTAAATCTATGACATTTATTTTGTATTGCCCTAAATTAGCTGTGATTTTAACAAAGTTCACAAACCGATCAGAGACTCAAACTACAACTAGACCGGAAATGTAATAACAACAAAAGCATGTTTATAAAGCCTTTTTTCTACAACTTGATAAAGATACGTCACTTTTACATTATGTTCTGCCTTTATGCCCTTTTTCACACTAAAACAGATGTTATTTTGTTGTTCCTGAAGGTGCGTCTGGGCGTCAGAGGGGTCAGTATCGAGGATGCTGGTGCGTACGCGTGCCGTGTTCGCGCTTTTGTGGAGAAAGGAGGGCGGAGTTCTGGAGGAGGCGCACGATGGCACATGGCGGCAGAGAAGATGTCCACCACCGTCAACGTCAAAGTGGCACAAATCAGTGAGTAGGAAAAAGTTTTCATATGTGTATGTGGTCTCAATGAGGTGGCGGAACCCGGGCTGGACTCTGACCAAACCAGGACTAAACCTGTAGACTGTATATTAGATGGACAGAGCTAACAAGCTAGCTACTAAAGCACATTGGAATAGTTTTTCACTCTCGTCATTCTGAGCTAAACACTGTAATGGTAGTAGCATGAGTAATCGCTGTAGTAATAGTTAGTAGCATTAATAATAGTTGTAGTAATAGTAGTAGTAGCAGTAGCATTAGTAAGTGTTAGTATAATTATAATAGTAGGTAATGGAGGTGGTATAGGTAGCATTAGTAATAACAGTATTTGTCGTGGTGTAACGCCAAGATACACTGCCGTGAAGAGATGCACTGCCTCAGCTGTTTATGATGTAATGCAAACCTGCGCGTCTCACGGCAGCCGGAGCATACCAAGATGGCGGACCGTGACTTTCTTTAAAAGTTTAAATACGAACGAATTAAGACACGAATGTCACTTTTAATGCAATTTGAGGCGAGATGTTGATGGTTCCGTTTTGTCACATGTGGGTTTTAAGAGTCAAAGTTTTGTGCAAAGTTTAGTTTAAGCAGTCAACTGCGCCTGTGAAACCACAAAGCTAATGTTTTCATAGCAGTCCGCGGCTGCTGACGTAGGCTGATGACGGTCTGTCGGTCTGTCGGGTTGATAATGGAAAATGGGGAAAAACTCGGATCTAAATAAATATTTTGTTTGAACACACTATTGTTAATCATATTGAATACAGTACAATACATGTATTAGATTAAATTTATTATTTCCATTATCAACCCGACAGACCAGTTGTAAGCTGTAGAGTGGCCACAGGACGTGTCATCAGCCTACGTCAGCAGCCGCGGACTGAAAACATTAGCTTTGTGGTTTCACAGGCGCAGTTGACTGCTTAAACTAAACTGCACGAAACTTTGACTGTTAAAACCCACATGTGACAAAACGGAACCATCAACATCTCGCCTCAAATTGCATTAAAAGTGACATTCGTGTCTTAATTCGTTCGTATTTTAACTTTTAAAGAAATTCACGGTCTGCCATCTTGGTATGCTCCGGCTGCCGTGAGACGCGCATGCGCAGGTTTGCATTACATCATAAACAGCTGAGGCAGTGCATCTCTTCAAGGCAGTGTATCTCAGCGTTACAGGGGCAGCATTAGGATTGAGGTGTGAACATTATGAGGAGTTGGATTGTAATTGCTCGATCCATTTCTCCTGCTGATATTAGAAATGCTGATTACAAGCAGCCAGGGTCTTTCTGTGTAGAGTTTGCATGTTCTCCCTTTGGTTTTCTCCAGTTTCCCCTACCACTAAAAACATGTACAATAGATCCAACACCTACTACATGCATTTTCAAGTGCTCAGGAAACGTAACCAGACTCTCACGTAGACTGGGACCGGAGTGGTCTTAGCGGTTTGAGAGCAACACCATTAATTTATTTTTTAGCAGCAGAAACACTTCCAAACAAACAAATAAATACGTCATTCTAAAAGTGACTAACAAAAGTAATAATTGACCAAATGCAACGAATATTATTATTAAATTGCTTCTAAAGTTGTTCATAACAACCAGACCAGACCTTGTGTTTGAGTAATGCCACAGTCAGACCTGCGTTTGTGTCGAAATGTTGTGGCTGATCTTTGCAAATTATAATTCCACAGAAATGATGTGATATTTCTATTCCATCTTTGATCCTGATGATCCATAAATTCCACATGGGTCCATATTGTTTCCGTTTGTCCTTTCCCTATAAAACCTGCTTGTTTTTGCCCTGCCCAATGTCACATCCTGCCTATTGTTTTAGCTTCGTTGACCTTGCTGCTCCTTAGATTTTAATAAAGTTACGAGTCTGAGGAATGCGGCGGATGGGGCAGCGTCATAAATGAAGACATAAATAAACACGTGATGGGCAGAGCTGGCGGCGGGCGCTCTGTCACTCTGCAAGGTCGTGCCGCCGCTATTGTTGGGGAATAGCAAATTCGGGCCGCGCTGTGGTCGCCTGGCAACAGAGAACAATGTATGTAAACATTGAGTAGAAATATTCATCACGGTGTTATCCACTTTAAAGGAGAAGTGGTATGCTTTGCACGGTGGTTAGCTGCAAGAACGTCCTGGGTTCCAATCCACCTAGAGACATTTCTGTGTGGCGTTTGCATGTTCTCCCTGTGTTTGTGTAGGTTTCTTCCAGGTGCTTCGGTTTCCTCTACCACTGAAAACATGTACAATAGGAATGAATGTGAATTAATTGTGATTTCAGGAGATTCTTAGTACCAGTGTGTTTGGATTATCAGTTTTTGGGTGTGTAGAAGGATTTTAATGCTTTCTCTTTTGTTTTTGAGAAATAACTAAATTAAACAGTACTTGTACGGATTGTATTTGACAACAAGGCAGCATCCCGTGATTTCTCCGGGAACTCGAAGCCGATCGATGTAAAAGGTCTTTTCTAACGGTTAATGTTGGGATGTGACAAACACGACGGAGCCCGGAGCTTCCGTGTCTGCAGCAGATGGATCCGCTCTGATTTATGGCCTTAGCTCAGAGGACGCTGTTCAGTGGCTCTGCCCCAAGTCTCCTGCTGTCTCTCCACTCTCACCCTCTCTCACCTCCCCCTTCTCTCTCACCCTCTTTCACCTCTCCTTTTCCCCCTCTATGTCAGCTTCATCTCATTTAGCTCAAAAAGCTCACAAGCATCAAAAATGTGTGAAGCGGACAGCTCAAAAACTATTTTCATTCAAACTCATGCTAATTGTGTGTGTGTGTGTGTGTGTGTGTCCGTCTCTCTCTCGTCTCTCTCTCTGGTCTCTCTCTCTGGTCTCTCTCTCTGGTCTCTCTCTGGTCTGTCCCTTTCTCTTTCTGTGCGCACGTAGCTATATTTGTTTGTTTATAGGCGACTTCATAAGGGGTAGGGTTGGGTGTAGTCATTCTTACCCGACCTACAAAAATCCACTGACCGGTAACATCATCTGTGGTCAGATCGATACAACTTTACCAAATTTGAGTTTTTCTTTTGTGTTTTAGATTGCAAATGTACCAAATATATAATGGGCCACAGTTTTTATAGATTCTCACGCTCTGTTTGTATTTTGACTGTTTTTGCCCAACGACATCAGACATATTATGAATGAAAAATGCCACTTCCTCAGATCCATAATGAAGGCGTGTGCAAAGGTTTTCCATTAGTTATGGGTGGGTCAGGAACTCGTCCTCCACAACAATTTCCTCAATATAAGGTTACTTTAAAAAAATATTGCAATTCATTCATCACCAAACGCTAGCAGAGTTAAATCTAAAACATGTGTGGAAAGATCAGGTTGGACCCCAGAGAAGAGACTGTACTACAGGGCTCAGAAGAGGCCAAGACGCTGCAACTCAATATGCATTTGTATTATAATGAGTTCCATCTAGTTAAATATTCTACAACCCGAGTCCTGGATCCTACAGCCTGTATCTCTCTTGCTCTCAATATGGGCCCTGAGTTTTCTCACTTTTTCCCCACTGGATTTTTTTTTCAATTATGTATTTTTGTAGAGCCCAAAGCACAACAGCCGTTATCTCTGACTTTAAAAAACTGTCGATTCGTCAACACAGATCAGACAATCACACAGTTAAAACAAAGGAAATGCAATGATTAAAAATACATAGAGCCATTGGTCCATAAGGGGCAGAGACCAATGTCAATAAAACGACTTTGAATGTCGGGGCCCCTCGGATCATCCCCATTGTCCTTAGACACTCCTGCATTTACAGTGGTCATCCCGCTCCCTATGGACCAATGGCTCCTATGTTTTTGTTATCATTGTATTTCCTGTCTAGCTGTAGTCTGATTCTCTGATCTGTTGTTGGTAAATGTTTATCCATATATTTTCTACTTATCTACTTATTGAACTTATCTGTTTCCCTAGTCCTAGATTGACCACACACATAATAACTATGGTTCGCTCTCTCCATTAGATCCTGGTGTCCACTGTGTTGCATAACTTTTATCTCTGGCAGTATTTCTACGCTCTTGACCCGTGCTGATCCAGGCAGTGTTTTGTCGGGTTTGTCGGTTCAAATCCCTCTTGATGTCCAGCCTTGGAGCCTGCCTTCCCACGATGCACCGCTCCAGGCCAAAACAGGAAGTCCGAGCGCTGGCTTGTTGCCGGTTTGGTCCAGTTAGCGCGGCCGGACTTAGCGCTGTTGTGTCAGCTGCAGTTGTTGTCAATAGACGTTTGGAAGTTCAAATCGCCCAATTTGGTGAATTTTGACCCTTTTCCTCAACATTTGTTTATGCTTTGGGTCAAACACAAATAGGCCTGTCACAATAATTACTATATTGACTTTTATGCTGGGTTACCCAACTTTTCAAATCGCAAAAAGTTAACTCTGATAAATGTCATGTAACTCAGTCCTCATTCTCAAAACAGTTTGTTCTAGCACTAGTATTTTTGGCCTCTATCTTCTTTAGATCAGCCTTTTGAGACACAAAAGTGAAAGAGCGGACCATCAGCTCTCAGCCCAAAGGCACATTTACTAATGAGATGAACATTGCATATTCTGGTCTGATTTGTTTTCAACATTATACTTTTACAAGACGAATAAACGAGTGACTTCAAAAATTCACAGTGAGTAAACTAGAGCGGTCCAAAAAAATTCACCCCCCTCAGCATTGACACACAGAGTGGAACGGAGCTTTGGGCCAAGAGCCAACTTTTGGACCATCCTGTAAAGATGTTTTCGAGAGGTCTGCCAATGCTATATGTTAGCAATTCTTATTCCGGGTCCACCCCCATCGGCCCGGGGTGGTATTGCAGCATGTCAGCGCACGTCATTTTGGCCACTTTTGAGCCGGGACGTGCCCCCACTGGTTCTGACCCGGTGGACCATCTCTTGGTACTCATCTGAGTACCTCACTGAAACCGTTGTGTGCTCCCCTGAGTATAACAAAGCCAGGCTTGTTCTGTTTTTATCTTGATTAGGTTTT